CCTTGCCCTCCCCTCGTCGCTTGCAAGGTCCACGGCCCGCGCGCCAAAGGGGCTCACATCAGGGCTGGGGTGGGGTGGACACAAAGCAGCCGTGCACCCCGATGCTGAGCGCGCGGGCGGGCAAGCTTTGCGCATTGATGCAGCCCACATGGCTGCAGCAGGACTTCAGTGACGGGCTCCGGTGGGCTGGTAGGATCCTCAGGATCCACCTCGAGGACAAGTGGGGACTACATAGGGCCCCAGGGAGGATGCTCCTGGGCGGCACAGTGAGGAAAGACGTGCGGCACCAGAGGAATCCCAGGAATGCAGAACCCAGAGGGGACACGAGGTGGCACGGCAGCTTCAGCGGAGCCTTTCAGTGCTCACTCCACCGGCCCCTCGGCAGAGCGGGAAGCCCAAGAGAGTTGCACGTGCCCACGGTGCTCACAGCGCAGGAAGGGGGACACAGGGCATCACCCCAAGAGGCAACAGGTGTGCTAGGAGCAACTTGTTGCTCTACCCACCCCATGACAAAGAGGGAAGAGACGGAGGGGTTTGCAGGCCTGCAGACGCAGCAGCGCTGCAGCCTGGCTCGGCACCGCACACCTCATCTTGCTTGGGGGCTTGGGTGAAAATATTTGCTAGCTCAGCATTTCTTCAAATTCCCCCACCTCACACTTGTCTTGGTCACTTGTTTTCCCGGAGATAAGAACTCGCTTGCACCGCCTGTGGCTCCATAAGGTCCTGCTGCACGATGCTTACAGGCTCGTGTGTGCGATCGCCTCGCGGGAGGAGTGCGCAGGCAGTAGTGGATCCCAGCTCGCGTGGCTCGCAGCTCCTTGCTTCTTGCCAGGCAGCAAGAAGGTTTGAGCGGGAGCAGAGCCGCAGGCCCCACAGTGCGGAGGGTCTCCCGCACTCCTCAGGCCCAGCACAGCCCGCGGGGGCCGGGTGGCAGCGCGCAGGCGCGTGGAGCCGGGGGCGCGCGCAGCTGTGGCCCACGCACCGCTCCAGCTGTCACACCCACCTGCTCCCACATCAGGCAGCGAACGCGCGTCCTGCGCCAAGTCCCCATCCAATTTGTGGCTGTTTCCATAACAACCTCCCAGGGCTTTCTGGTCCTTTCTGGCACCACACAGATGCCGAGCTCCAGCGCGAGCGATGCGCGATACCTCCCTGCTTGGGACGGGGCAGCTCGGGCCATTAACCCAGAAGGCTGCTCCGGCCCCTGTACCGTGATGGAGATGCCACCACTGGGCCCCGTGGTGACACTAGGAACACTGGGAGCACATTGCCCTGCAGATCCCTTACCGCCTGCTGCAGTCCTACCTGCATGTCCTGAACGTCATCAGTGCTGGACCGAGGCATCTTCTCCTGCAGGCCTGGCTCTTGTTCAGCCCTGGGCAGCTCCAGCCCTGGTGGCAGAGGCCAGGGGGCTGAGCCCTGTCCTACTGGCCACATGGGGCAGGAAGCTGCTGGGGGACCCCTGGGCAATGCTTGGCTAAGGGGGATGCACTTTGTGGGGGGAGGACACTGCAGCCTGTCCCCCTGCTCCTGCCTGCCCCCAAGGGAGTTCAGCACAGCAAGGGGAACCCCTACACTTAGTCCCAGGTGCTCCCCACCTATCACCTAGGTATAGGCAGGGAGGCTGCCAAGATC